AGGCATTTGGTGTCTCTCTTGTCCTTACAAAATTCTTTTTGTGTCATTGCTGTTACCTCAGCCTCAGCTTTGCACCCTGTTGTGTATGTGCATGCCCAGTGGAGGCACCCGTGCCCAGGGCCCCTTACTATCACTCCTCCTTTAGTTGGCTTGGATGGAAAGAGGCCCTTAGAGGGAGGGACCATTATTTCTCAAAGCAGTAACATCCCAGTCTCAGTGCAGGGTACAGAAAAACCTGTAGTTGACACATTGGTCCTAGTGAAGAGGGCACAAATGCAGGACTCTGGGCATTTCCTTTCTGCCTCACCAGGGCTGGAGTAGGCTAGACCTACTGCTGGCAGTGAGTCTCAAGGACACCGTCCTCATGGGTGAGCAGGTGTGAGGAGCAGACCCTTCTCTGCTGCAGGGAGCTCTACCTGGTGAGCCTCATCCCAGCCACTTTTCAAAGGTTTTTTTCCCCTGTATACAATGGGATCTGCACAATGAATTTTCCTCTAGATCATTACATTATAAAATAGACTTTTATTAGAGCAATTTTATATTTACAGCAAAATTGAGCAGAAGGTGCAGAGATTTCCCATATACCCCTTATTCTCACACATGCATTGCCCCCACCAGAGTGGTACATTTGTTGCAACCAATGAATTTACCATCGCGGTATCACATAGAAAGATCTTTTGTGCTCTGTCTACTTACTTATCTCTCCCTCCCCCAAACCCCTGATCTTTTCATTGTCTCCATAGTTTTGCCTTTTCCAGAGTGGAATCTTTTTAGATTGGTGTCTTTCACTTAGCAATGAATTTAAGATTCCTTCATGTTTTTTCATGGCTTGATAGCTCCTTTCTTTTTAGTGCTGAATAATATTCCATTGTCTGAATGTACCAGTTTATTTATGCATTCATCCACTGAAGAACATCTTGGTTGCTTCTAAGTTTTGACAACTATGAATAAAGCTGCTGTAAATATCTGTGTGCAGGTTTCTGTGTAAATGTAAGTTTTGAACTCCCTTGGGTAAGTAGCAAGGAATGCAACTGCTGGATCATATGGTAAGAGTATGTTTAGTTTTGTAAGAAGCTGCCAAATTGCTTTCCAAAGTGGCTGTGCCATTTTGCATTCCCACCAGCAGTGAGAGTTCCGGTTGCTCTACAGCTCATTACATATTAAAATGCCTTTAAAGTGCAGACTTGAAGGGGTTCCTGAGTGGTTCGGTCAATTAGCTCTTGATTTTGGCTCAGGTCATGATCTCCTGGTTTATGAGATTAAGCCCCAATGCCAGGCTCTGAGCTGATAGTGTGGACCCTGCTTGGGATTGTCTCTCTCCCTCTCTCTTCCCCTCCCCCACTTATCCCCCCCCCCCCATGCCTCTAAGTAAAAGAATAAAGTACAGACTTGAATCCCAAGATTCCTCCCATTGTTTGCATCATGACTTCATTGTTTCCTTGCTACATCCTTGGCTAGGATGCAGTCTGTGGCAATTTAAACATGGCTCTAATGTTCTTTGACATTTTTCCCATCAAGAACTGGAGACTGTGTCCTTTTCCTTGAATCTGGCCTCATGACTGCTTTACCAATGGAGTGTGATGGAAGTGACACTGGCCAGTCCAGGGTTCAAGGCTGAAGGAACTGGCAGCTTCCAATTCCCGTCCCTTAGGCCCCAGCCACCATGCTGTGAGCAAGTCCAAGAGTCGGGGCAGAAGCCACATGGCAGGGCAGGCAGTTTCACAACAGAAGTGAGTGAGGGCACCTCCAGATGCTTCCATTCTCCAGTCTCAAGTTGCTTCCTGCCTTTGTGCCACCTTGACTGTACTGGAGCCCAGATGAACTATTTCCACTGTGCCTTTCTGAGTTCCAAGACCCATGGCATCTGGGAGCATGATAAATGGTTGCTATTTTTTACCACTAAACTTGGGGTGGTTTGTTACACAGCAGTAGATAAAGAGAACCCATGTGAGTCTGCATTTGATTTTTCTTCTTTCTCAGGTCACTCTCTGGGGTGGGCTAAGAGACAGAAAAGGAAATTGCCCTGGCTGTCTGCCCAGTGTCCCCTCTCTCCTACATCTTTTAGGAGTCAGTGCACAGGCTGGGAAAATTGAACTACCTGTGGGCAGCAGTGGAGAAACAGGATGTGTAGCCTATGCAGTCAGAGCAGGCAAAGGCTGGTGGCCAGAGAGGCCTGCACAGTGGGTGGTCACAGGGACCCCTGAGAGAAGGTGGGATTTCCAAAGGGGAGTTGCAGACAGGTTTCCATGTGAAGTGGGGCTGGAGGACTGGGATGGAGATCACTCTGAGTCACACCTATCTGTTGAGGGTGAGAAGCCAGGGGCACTTCACTGGATCACCCACAAAGGCAGACAATATGTACATCTGCACATCCATATAAAACTCACCACTACTTATATAATGTAAGCAAAGGGATTTTATTACAGGTATATCGGAATTTATACATTCAAGTACTGCATACTATTTTTTAAAATTTTTATTTATTTTTAAGAGAGAGAGAGAGAGCATGTGCAAGCAGGGGAGGGGCAGAGAGAGATGGAGACATAATCTGAAGCAGGATCCAGGCTCTGAGCTGTCAGCACAGAGTCCAATGCGGGGTTCGAACTCACAACCCCTGAGATCATGACCTGAGCCAAAGTCGGACACTTAACTGACTGAGTCACCCAGGCGCCCCTCAAGTACTGTGTATACTTGAAAATAGCAAGTCAGATTCCAATGATACTGCTCTTTGCTAAGAATATTTAGAAAGTCCCTATTTTGGAATTTCCCTTGGTGAAATCTTCTTGCCCAGCTCAGGAATCACATCATTTCTGACATTGTCCCCAATCACTTCTGACTGAAGAAATCAGAACCTCTCCACGGTACAGCACTGGCACCATGAATTATGCTGCAGGTTTCCAGTAACATTATCTGCATCCAATCCTCATTCTTAACTGCCTGAAAGGAACGCTGAATTGGACCTGGCTTCAACAACCAAAAGGATGGGCTGGCAATAACTGAGGAGCCCAGAGATGGAAAGCTTGACTCCTGTTCCAGTGTGGAAACCTGTACTGTGGGGGCTTTGTTGCCATGTGGGATGGGACATGTAGATGCCAATCTCTATCAGGGGTGGGATTTCCTCCATAATTTAGGCCACATGCACCCACTCCTGGAATAGGGTAGTTGATCCCACCACAGACATTAGGGGCTTATGATGAGGAAGTGAGAAGGAAGCATGCAGTCAGCCCTGCTCTCCAGGCTTAGAGTCAGTAGGTGGACATTAGTAACACAGGCACTAGGCACCATGTGTTTGGCCATGGTTGTCCTCCTAATGCTTCATGATCCTCCTTTGGACCTACTGGCCTGCACATCAAGGTTCCTCTGGTGTGGATACCATTCTGTAAGGGTGGGAGCAACCCAGAACCTTCCAACCATTCAGAGTGCCAGCACATTCATGCTCTGGGCTCCCCCCCCTTGATACTTTCTATCCTGTATTGGTGTTTCTTGAGGCATTGGAGGAGAATGTGCAGGCTCAGGGATGAGCATGGATGAGCCAGCATTTCTGCTGTGTTCACAGGCTCTGTAGTGCCCTGCCCCATGTGGATGGAGTCACCAGGCACAGCATATATGAACTGTGTCCACACCCAATGTGTGCAGTGATATGATCTGAAGTGTCTGAAATGCCGTACTGGACCTTACTGTAGAGAACTTGGGCTCTCTGGTGGTTGTGGCCAGCTTGGGGACTGCAGTGTGACAGTGCCCACCATGCTCTAGGAGACCCAGAGGTTCTTTGGATCCCTGGTGTCTGCTCCTGGGTAGTCTGACCACACTATGTCCTATGCAACATGCTTGTTATAAAGTCTGTGCCTCCCAAATACCTAGCATAGCCAGACTCCATGAAGAAACAATTCTCCCAGAGAGGTTTAAAGAGACATTTTCCAGAAAGAGAACTTTTGGGTTTTGCCTGTTACATGGTGGAGGACCCAAGAGCCTCTAACTTCCTGCCAATCCTTGGGCAGTGCTTGGGGTGGGGTGAAGTGGGGCTAAGATCCCACTAGGGCTGCCTCGCCCACTGCAGGCCTGGGTGTCTGTGTCTGTGTAGTTTATGTGTTTGTGTGTGGCTCTATGTGTCTTGAGTGTGTCTGTGCATGGGTGTTGGTGTGTGTAGTTATGCGGCTCTCTGTGTGTCTATTTATATTTCTGTATTTCTGTGTGTGTCCCTGTTTCTGTGTGTGGTTAATGTGTGTATAGTGTATGCTTGTGATATGTGTGTCTCTGTGTGTGTGTCTTTGTAGTTTGTGTTCTGTATGTGCGTGTGTCTATATGTGTGCCTGTATTTCCTTGTGTGTTTGTGTCAGTATGTGGTTTATGTGTCTATGTGTGTGTAGTGTTTGTGTGGTGTGCTGGTGGCCATGTGTATACTTATCTGTATCTGTGTTTAGCTTTATGTGCCTGTGTGTTCTATTTGTATGTCTGATGCATCATGCATGAGTTTGTGTGTCTCTGTTTATGTTTCTTTGTGTGTGTGTTGTATGGGAGAAAGGGTGAGCCTTCTACAAATGTAACATTGACCACAGCCCAAGGCTTGAGGGGGAACAGGCAATGAGAAAATAAGAGGAATCTGGTCAGGTTTATCAGTTCTAGCTGAGAACTCTTAAAATGCAGGAGAAAAAAAAGGAAGCAAAATATGCACTAAGTTTATGTTTTTCCCAAATCTCGTTCACAGGAAAAAACCTGTTACAAGTACTTGGCTACCTTCTATAAACTAGACCCTGGGATAGGCACAGCAAGCAGACTGTCCGCTTTCAGAGAGGGTCCGGCCTTCTACATTTTCTGCATTTTTCCCCCCTCCATTCCCGATGGGTCTTCCATAGCTCTTGGGGCGAGGGAGCCCTCTCCTCCTCTCCGGGGCAGGCTGCCCTGGGCCTGGGGGAGTCTTCCAGAGGTGCCGTCTGTGGGAGTGGCCAGACCGGGAGGTGCGGAGGAGGGCTCGCCCCGCCCCCGCGGTGCCCACGCCCGCATCCAGTCCCAGCAGAGTTTTCCTTAGCTCTCCACTCACCGTTCGGGAGCTATCAGTTTGTATCTTACAACTTCACTTTTGGAGAAAGATCAAGTCGTCAGGCCAGTGGGGAGAGAGGACGTGAGGAGCTAACCTGTCTGTTCTGGGAAGCAGGTAGGGTTTTAAAAAGCCTGTGTTGAGTCGTTGCTTTATGGAGGGGAAAATGAGTAGCTGGTGTGAGTACAGGGCGCTCATTACCACACCAGGCATTTTCTAGATTTAACGGGAGCCGCTCACTGAGAGGCAAGTTCCCAGGACAAACCGGGCCCCTCACCCCGGGGTGGCCCATGGGGATACTGAAGGGCGTTTGGACGTGTTCAGACAGCGAATGTTCTGCTTGAACTGCAGGGCGGCATCTGCTCCCACTGCTGGCTTCACACACGTGAGCGCTAGTCAGGCGTTTCTGTGGAATGCGCCGGCGGGGGCGGGGGGGTGGGGGTGGGGGAAAGCATTAAATCCCCCAGAGCCTCTTCTTTTCACTCTGACCACACACAGCAGAATAAATGGATTGGATGTCGCTAGCTCATTCCAAGATATGGATAGTAAGCACAAGCTTCCCTGTGTGGATATTCTTGGGGTTACAGACCCCGGCCTGCCTGGGCCAGGTGCCTAGCCTTCCACCACACAGAACTGGCTGCTCCTGAAGTTCCGCAGGTGATCCTTTGAGCACTTCGGGGATGTGACAACTCCACAATATGCAGTGATTCTGAGGGAAAGCAAACAGGAGGATGTTGTCAGTTGTGAGCAATTATCTCCTGAATACAAGGCAGTCCACTGTTACCTAAACCACCTAGGAAATATAGTTCCTGAATTTGCTTATAGGGGTTGGCATGGAGTCTGCTGTCCAGGCACCTGGGGCAGTGCCTGCTATCCAGGTCCTTGGAGTAGGACTTGTGGGGGCTGGGAGCTTCACTGCTTCTGGTGATACCAACTCACATAATTGCTAATGAAGATTAAATCTCATTAAAAACAACAGAGGTGAAAGCTCTAGGTAAACCATGAAGAACTGAACAAAAACTGCTTGTTAATTGCAATTTAGTTTACAAACATTTGAGTGCAGTTGTTCATATCAGATGTAAAGTGCAAGTGATTTAGGAACATAAATTTTATTATACTGATGAAAAGCAAATACTGATACTGTTTTTATTCTTGAAAAAGGTCATGGCCCCTTTGAAGTTAGCTGAGGTCTGAGGAACATCAGGAATTACAGAGGAAAGAAAAGCCCTGTCTGGAGATTTAGCAGTACCCACACCTGGGACACCTGGGAAAGGTTTTAAGCCAGAGGACACATAGTCTGATGTGTATTTTGGAAAGATCACTGTGGTTGGGTGGTAGGTAGCTGAGTCTTGCCCACTGAGAGGTAGCTGCACAACCAGGGCAGTGGTAGGGGACACTTCATAGGTAAAAGTTCTGCAGGGTGAGGACAGTTCTCAGGCTCTGGGTTTGTGATGGGTGCATCTAGAAGGATGCTGGACATCAGGGGAGACAAGAAGGCAGCTGCACACAGTGATCTAGGCTGCAGAGGGGAGCTTGGGAGCATTGCCTGTCCACTAGTGAGATCTAAGCCTTTTGGGAGAGGGAGAGGAGTAGGGCCTTTTAACTCTGGGGTTAGTTGGGGAATGGTGGGGATAGGATGGGGAGGATTTGGCTTGCAATGGAAACATGAAAGGCCCGAAAAGGGGGAGGACAACCTAGAGGCTGGAGGCCCAGAAGAGGCGGCCTGTGTACACAGGAAGGGGAGAGCCTTTCGGGGAGTTTTCAATCTTTCCTATATATTGGAAAATAGGAGAAGAGACCCACACACCAGGTGTCTCTGGTTAGCTCCTGGGGGCAGCCCTACCACTTCGCAGAAGCACTTTCCTGTGCTTGAAAGCAGTCTCCTCTCGGCCAGTTGCCCACACACGGGGCACTATCCTAGTGGCCCAGGCCCTCGTGAGGTGGGGCCCGACTTGGTGGCCTGTGAGGCCACTCACTCTGCGATGAGGTCGGTGCTCTGGCCGTGCCCCAACCTGCTGTGCCCTGTGCAGCAGGAGGCGCGCTCTGAGAGAGAAGAGAGCGAGGACTCGCCCCAGCATGGGTCTCTCTCTCTCTCTTTTTTTTTTTTTTTTGACGGGCAAAGGACAGTTTCAAACTTGTTTGCAGGATGCGCGAAAAGTCAACAACACAGCGCCGCAGGAATAAGCGAAACAGCCTGGAGTGCAGGTAGAAGAGACGGATACTCCTTCGCCTGGGGGCTGGTGGCAAGGCCTGGCGTGAGAGGGTGTCCTGCCCAGGCAGGCAGGCGAGGGCAGGAGGCTGAGCACGGCGGCCCAGTTCCAGACTGCAGCGGGGATAGCGCCGCTCCTGGAGGCACTCAGAAGCGCGCCCACTAGTTACCTTCCCTGGGCACAGCACGGGGAGAGCATAAAAGCGATTACAAACTATCCTGTTGGGTTGAATGTTCTAGAAACTTCTACCCAAATTCACATGTTGCAAACCTCATCTGAAGAGATACAGGGTCAGACTCTTGTGCCCTAGCCTGTTGTGTGGGTGGAGGCACAGCCCACTCTGCGCTACCCACCACAGACATATCTGCCTTTTCTCAGAGTGGACTGAGAAGTAGTCTGACCAGGGAGCTGGCCTGTACCAGCCTCCTCGCCCTAGGGGCTGTGCCTCTTTCCAGGCTTCATCAATTAGAAAGGTGCACTGGGCTCAAACTGCCGCAGCCAGTCCCCACAGACAGCCACGCCCCTGTGGACACAGATCCTCCTACAGTCACACCTGGAGGCCTCAGCCAAGCAAATGCAAATACAGCATTTACCCTTCAGAGGCAGCCACACACCCCTGGAGACACAGCCATGTGGACAGCTCCACACTGACTTCGGAGCTTTGGGCCTCAGTAGTGCTTACCATGGAAAGGAACATTGGAAGATTCAAGTGTTTTTTTAGGACCTTGCACAAGAGGAGAAGATTAGCGGCCGAGCGGGTTATTTTCAATAACAAAGTTTTCACAGCAGCCAGTATACTTTTTTCTTTTTCTTTTTTCATTATTGTATTATGTCAAGTGATTAAAGAACTTGAAGAAAAGTGTTCTTAAAATTCACAAAGGTACTATATTCCAAATGATGTATATTTCTGCTACTGATTTACAAAACCAACATGAGGATCGTCCTTCAGTAATTTAATTAGTTTAATTGGCATGCCTGTGCAGGGGAAGGCACCAGATCCTCAGAACGGGAGGTGCCCGGGGTGTCAAAAAGATAGTTGTTGGACTGGGGTGCACGGAGGGCAGGTTCCTGGGACCCCTGTTCTCCTGTCGCTTCCTGCCCCTCATGCTCTGTCAGGCCATTTGCACCAAACTTGAGCTGTGCTCCATAAATGCCAACAAACCCTGCCATGCCCACAAAAGCCCAGTCAAGTTCTGTTAAGAGCCATTGGGGGTGCCCTGGCCTGGCTCTAGCATCTGGGAACACAGCTCCACAGATCCCCGCCTTTCTTACATCTCAATTGTCTGATCATCGTCTCAGGCCCAGCAACCAACAACAACTGCTGGACCAAGTTGAGAAAGGCCCAAAGGCAGAATTCTGTTCTCTCCTCAACATTGGCAGGTATTGGAACCTGTGTCCTATGCCCTGCCCCTGTGCACTGAGCCTTGGCCTCCAGCCACTCTTGACCCAGAGCTATCCTCCCAATGAGCCCCTCCACCACATCACAGGCACATCTGTGGGAGGAGCAGCAAGGCCAAATAGCACAACCTGAAGCAGGGTTGGTGAACTTCAGCTATGTCTCCAGGCAAGGCGTGGGCAGAATGTCAAGTCTGTGGCAGGACACACCAACAGGAGGAGGGCCTAGGTGGGCAGGGTCATTGTAGGACCTGGAGGGATGGGGAAGTACTGCTACAAGGCTGCTGGGGAAGGGAGCAGAGCCAGAGGGCAGACCCAGGAGCTGCAAGATCCAGGTGTGAAGATAGGAACATTCCATGGGGTTTGAAATGTCAGCCACAATATCTACTTTTTTACAGAAGTTGGTGGCAGTTTGGTCAATTTGGTATGAATCTTGCTTAGAAGGAAAGGCCTGGGCTCAGCCATGGTGGAGGGCTGTCTGGCAGAGGGCCATAGCCCCTCTGTTACCACTCAGACCTCACGTAGTAGTTCTCCCACCCCAGCAGGAGCCTGCTGTGTCCTCTACCCCTGCTCAGGACACAGCTGCACCCAGGGGCTCAGGGGTGTAGCTCTTCCCCTATTGACTGCAGATGTCTATTGTAGTCTGAGCTTAGCTCAGTGCTCAGGGTGGGCCCTTCTCTGTGGAGTCTTAAGGGGTGAGTCCCAGACATCTCTCTGCATGTCAGGCATATGGGGAGAGGCTAGGCTGAAACTGTGGGTTCAAGAGAAGAGCAGCCACAGGCTAGGGTGCTGGAGAGGGTTTTTCCAGAGGTTAGTCCATGGGCTAGCATGTTGGGAGGGCCCCCTCAGAGGATGGGCTGTGGGTTAGGATAGTGGAGGTGGACATTCCTAGAGGATGGATAGTGGAATTGGGGGTTGGGGTCCTCATAGGACAGATTGTGAGCTGGGGAGTTGGAAGGTGTTGGGAAATTGAGAGTGGGCCATGGGCTAAGGTGTTGGGGTCCCTCCCAGAGGACAGTCTGTAGGACTGGAATGCTCCAGCCATCTAAATGAAAATTAATGACCAGGTGCAAGCAGGAGGGTTTGGGATGTGTTTAGAAGACCTGGATGAGAAATGTAAGAGAAAGAGAGGGACCTCTGGGTGAGCAGAAGCCTTTGTGATCCCAGAAGGTATCCAGAAAGTGAGCTGAACAAGAGCAGAGGCACTGGGCAGTTGCTGAGCCAGGGTACAGAGGAAGTTGTGGGTGGGAGACTCAGCAGAGAGCTAGTTGGGTCAAGAGATAGACCTCTCTAGACAATGGCCAGTGTTTAAAGCTGAGACTAAGATCTTCTAGGGAGGGCAGGCCTCAGGTGAAGGCTGGGAATAGTGGAAAGAGCCAACAAAGGAGAATGAGGAAGAGCAAGAGCCTCAGTTAACCCTGAGACTAAAAGGGAAGGCTGCTGAGAATCTGAGAAAGGGCCAGAGCTTGGATGTTATTGGAGGTGACCCTGACTAGATTGTTTTCCATCAGG